GAGAACGGAGGGGCTGTGTTCTTCTTATTGTTAATAATAAATAATTTTATTGGGGACTTTTACAGCTCTTATAACAATCCACACATCAGTTGTATCAAACTCATCTGTACATATGTTACCATCATCATTTTCAAAACATATTCTTTCTGTTTGAGCCCTTGGTATCAGCTCCTCTTTTTCCCTCTCTCCCCCACCCTCCCACCCTCATGGACCCATGATAAATGATAAATTATTATTATTTTCGTATCTTACACTATCCCCTGTCACCCTTTGCTCAGGTTTCTGTTGTTCATCCGCCTGGGGAGGGGGCAGTGTTATATGCTGATCGTTGTAGTTGGTTCCCTGTTTCTCCCCTTTCTTCCCCCACTTTCCCCTACTCTCATGGTATTGCTACTCCCATTACTGTTCCTGAGGGGTTTATCTGTCCTGGATTCCGTGTGTCGAGAGCTCTTATCTGTACCAGTGTACATGCTCTGGTCTAGCCGGATTGGTAGTAGGTGGGGTGGGGGTTGGGGTAAGCCTTAAGAAACTAGAGGGATGTTGTGTGTTTCATCGGTGCTATACTGTACCCTGGCTGACTCCTTCCTTCCTTGTGACCCTTCTGCAAGGGAATGTCCAATTGTCCACAGATGGGCTTTGGGAATCCACTTTGACCCATATTATTTGCATCCATAGATTTGTTTGTTTTGAGTCTTCTGATGCCTAATACCTGATCCTGTCAATACCTCGTGATCACACAGGCTGGTGTGATTCTTCCATGTGGGCTTTGCTGCTTCCCTGCTAGATGGCCAGTTGTTTAACTTCAAGCCTTTAAGACTCCAGATGCTATATCTTTTCATCGCCAGGCACCATCAACTTTGGTCACCACATTTGCTTATGCACCATTTTGACTTTGGCGGTGGTGTCGGGAAGGTGAGCATCACAGAATGCCAGGTGATTAGAACAACCTGTTCTTATGTAGAGGGAGGACGTGAGGTGAGGCCCGATGTCCATCTGCTACCTTGATACTTAACATATAAATATATATACATAGATCTATATCCCTACCGTTATATATGAAAATATTTACATATGTGCATGCCTAGGCTTATACCTCTATAAATGTCTTTTGCCTCCTAATTCTTTCAGGGCTGTGTGTTCTGGTTCAGAGTAACAGCCTTGGAAACCCCGTAGAGTGTCCCTGTGAATCGACTCATTGGCAGAGAGTTGCTTGGTTTTTGTATCACTATTAATTTAGACCTTCTTTAATATTTTCAGAATATTTTTTATCTATCCGTATGTTGATGCCCCATATATTTTGTTACATTTGTTTCTTCATGCTCTTCATGTTTTGGAAATAAAATTATATTTTATTTTTCAATTGTTCATTGCTAGCATATAGAAATATAGCTAGCTTTTATATATTTAATTTTTATCCTGAGGTCTCACTAGACCTACTTATTACTTTTAGTAGCTTTTAATAGACCACTTAGGATTTTCTGAATATTAAGTATGATTTTAACTTCAGGTTTTTCAAGATGGTGAAATTGCCTCTTTTAAAAAGCCAGTTTTGTTGGCATATAACTCACGACCATACAATTCAATGGTTTAAATATATCTCAAAGGTTTGGACAATCATCACCACAGTTAGTTTTAGGACATTTTCTCATTGCCGTACCCATTAGTATTAGTGCCCCATTTGCCCCAACGTCCCCTGCCAATACTCTACGGAATTATTGATCTAGTTACTGTCTCTATTTTGGATTTCATATAAAGAAAATCATACCAAAAATCCCAACAATGACAACAAAAGAAAACACGGTGAGTCCCCAATTCAAAGGAGAGCAGACGATCATAGAAATGAGAACACATTTACAATAGGACAAAAGGGCGATGATAACATGTTAAATTTTAAACCAACTATATCTGCAGTAATGCACATTCTGATGCCCTGCCTGAGCAAAGACTAGTGAAATCCCCATTCAGTGGTCTGAGGAAATTCAGTGGAGGCTAATCTGTGTGGGAACCCTGCAAGTGGATTTTGGCCTTCTCAGTGTCATCCAGCTGGGTGCTGAGAATTTAAACTCTCATACAATTCTCTCCTCTGACCTTGGCTTTCATTATTTACGATCCTGGGACCCCCCGGGCTGGTGCGCTCTTTCCGTCTGAACGGAGGTGGCCCCTCACTCAAATGGCTGTTTGTTTTAAGAGAAGCCTTTAAGACTCCAGATGCTGTTCTTTCTCATAACTGGACAAGATTTGATTTTGACGTTTCCTTTTATTTCGAGTTTGCTAAAAAGTTTTTTTATTATGTGTGGGTGCTGAATTTCTAAGTGCCTTTTTCTGAGTCAGGTAGATGATGAAGTTCCCCCCACCCCTTTATTATTATGGACAATTTAATTGAATTTCAAAATTAAACCATTTTACATTCTTAGAAGAAAAATTAAACCAACGTACATTCTTGGAATGCGTTTTCATTTGCTCGTTTTCTATGTTGTTGCAGTCAATGTGCCAATACTTAAACATATGTGTCTGTGTTCATGAAGGATGTTAGTCTGTAGTTTTCTTTTATGTCTATATGAAGGTGGGGTGTTTCAAAAAGTTCATAGGAGCATTCCATTATCTTTCCTTTCTATTTTCTACAAACTTTTTGAAACCCCTTTTGTGTGGGTATCTGTGTGTTATTTTTGGATTTGGGTATCAGAGTCAAACAGTTGGGAGGATTAATTCCTTTTCTGTTTCCTGAAAGAGTTTGTGTAAGATTGATGTGATTTCATGCTTAAATGTCTGATAGAATTTGCCAGTGAAGCCACTCAGGCCCGGAATGTCACTGGTGACAAAGTGTTTAGTTGCACATTTAAAATAAGATAGAAGGTTATTTAGATATTCTATTTTTCTTGTGCTCATGTTCATTACTAGTATCTTTTTAAAAATCGGGTTGCCCATTACATTTAAAGTTATTAAACTAATTTGCTAGTTTAATATTGTTCATAATATTCCCTTGTCATGCTTTTTTGTGAGATTTTTAATAGTACCCTCAATATCAGTCTTATTATTGTTGATTTGTTTTTTGCCCCACTCAGCATACTATTTATCCCTGTAATAAATATTGTAAAGAACCAGCCTTTTGTTTTCATTTATTTTATCTATTGTTTCTTTCTAGCGCAGTGGTTCTCAGCCTTCCTAACGCCACGACCCTTTCATACAGTTCCTCATGTTGTGGTGACCCCCAACCATAGCATTATTTTTGTTGCTACTTCATCACTGTCATTTTGCTACTGTGATGAATCGTCATGTAAATATGTGATAGGCAGGATGTGTTTTCATTGTCACAAATTGGACACAATGAAAGCATAGTGAATCATCACAAAAATAATATGAAACTCTATATTGTGAAATATTTATTTCTAATGACAAGTAAATGAAATTTTGTCTTGAAGCCTGGGGTAGCATGGGTAACAGTCTCCACCCCAGTTACTTGTAGATGGGTGCACCTGCATGGGGTGGACTCACCTGGAGATGGATAGGGGAGCGGTGTCTTGGTTCCTAAGACCATGCGTTTCGATGTTCTTAGGCAACCCCTATGAAAGGGTTGTCTGACCCCCCAAAGGGGCCGCGACCCACGGGTTGAGAACCGTTGTTGTAGCTCATCAATTTCTCCTTACTTTATTGCCGTTGTTACCTTCCTTCTCATAACTTTGTCCTTGACTTGTTCTCCACCCTCCCCCTTAAGAAGAAAGCTACGGCCTTTGCTCTTTTCTACGACAGGTCTTTTAATTCACAAATTTCGCGCTGAGCACTACTTGAGCCGCATCCCACACATGTGGTCCTGCTGTCTTTCATTAACACCCAGGTCTCGTGTCTCTTGTTACTTCTTCTTTGGCCCATGGATTGTTTAGAAATGAATGGTTCCATTTCTGTGTATTTAATGTTTCATTCCTTGCAGTGGTTGATTTCTGATTGTATTCTATTGTAATTAGAAATCATTCTCTCTGCTCGATTCCAGTCTTTCGAAATCTAGTGAGACTCGTTTTATATTGTTGATGTTGGTCTGGAATAGAAAGGAGGTACAATCTGTTTTGAAGCTTAATGCTCTACACCTGTCAGGTAGGTTCCGTGGTTGCTAGTGTCATTGAAATCTTCTCTATACCTACTGGTTCTCTGTCTAGTTTGAAAAACTCAATTACTGAAAGAAAGGTGTTCTTTTTTCCCTCTATTGTCATGCAAGATTTTTCCCTTTCTCTCTGTTGTTTAGGTCTGGCCTCTTATAATCTGAAGCTGTATTACCAACCACATTTATAACCGTTATTCTCTTCCTGACATACTGAACCTTTTAATATTATGAAATGTTCTTCTAGCATAGCTTTTTCTTTCAAGGAGAGGAGATCTGCCTTTCTATTTCTACTTTCTTGCCTCCACCATAGTACCTGGGATCTGCCCCACTCAAGTTAGATTTAGTCGAGCCCCATACAGTTGAGTGCAGGTTATCCTCATCTGTAACTGCATCCCGTGGGTGTGGTTCTCTTGCCTCAGGGTTTCCCCCTTCACTTCCTCGCTGTTGAAGTAAGGATTCAGTTTTCTATTGCTCTGCAGACTTAAGGATATTCCTCAGGCAAGAGAGCTACACATTCATACCGCTTTTCCTTCTTGTTGCAGGTGCTGAAGAAAGCGCCTTCCTTTCTTTACCCTCTGATTTTGGATGTGGCCAGGGCCTCTGAAGAGTGCTTTAAAAATGTTTCCTCCAACTTTTATAACTGCTATTGGTAGACGTAAATGAACGAGTCTGCTCCATCGCCATTATTGGAAGTTTCCTTAAAAATGTGTTTTGTTTTCCAATCCATAAAACATTTGGGAGGAGGAAATGAGAATGCCAAGGAGATGGCTCAGGAGATGGATGCTATTTTGAGTAACAGAATGCTTGGTTCCCCCCAGCCTTTGTGACAAGCAAGTTAACTGCATTATGTTCCGACCGACACAAGTACAAACTGTCCTTTCTAAGTTATGTGTGCTTTTATTATTAGGAACTGAATGACCTTCATATTGAAGCGCTCGCAGTAGTAGCCAATTGCCTTGAAGATATGGATACTATTGTGATGATTCAACAGACAGGGGGTCTTAAAAAGCTCCTCACGTTCGCAGAAAACTCTTCAGTTCCTGACATCCAGAAGAATGCAGCAAGAGCAATCACTAAAGCAGCTTATGATCGTATGCCCTGGTTTTTAAATATGTATTATATTGTCTGCTTTGATCTCTCTCCAAAAGAACTCACTGCCATCAAGTTGATTCTGATGATGTCCATAGTGACCCTCTAGGACAGGGTAGAACTGCCCCTGTGTGTTAGTCTGGGTAGACTAAAGAGCCCATCAATTACTCTTTATATAAAGAGTAATTTATATAATATCCCAGTCCAGTCTAGATCAAGTCCATAAGTTCAACATAAGCCCGTATGTCTAATACTAGTCCATAAATTCCTCTTTAGACTGACTCAGTCATGCAATGCTGCCAAATGCAGGAAGATCACAGGCCAGTGAGTGGAAAGTCTTGTGGATCCAGTGTTGGTAGAATCATCTCAGTGCTGGCCGGGGTCTCCATGTGGCTCCTCCAGCTCCAGGGCTCTGTCTCCATCAGCATAGCTCCATCAGACTCTTTGTCAGTAGTGGCTCGCAGGGAGTCAGTGTATGTCCCACCTCCAGCGAGCTATTTATCTCCATGGCGTCTCCAAATGAGGTCATCAAGTGGCGACCTGATTGACAGGCTAAACTCCACCCCTTCACTCATAAGTCTCAAATTGACAACAGATTATGTAACTACCACAACCTGTGGCTTTCTGAGACCTGCACTTTTTACTGGAGTAGAACGCTTCCTCTTTCTCTCAAGGAGCTGCTGGTGTCTGGAAACGGCTGACCTTGTGGTTATCAGTCCAACACTATGCGGCCAGAGCTCCACTGTTGTCTACAGCACTATTCTCAAGTGGTTAGTCAAAAGCAGATACATAGCCTATTAATATATTAATATTAAAATATTATTAATGAATGCCATTCCTATTAGAGTCGTATTTACCTGCTTTTAACTAACCACTTGAGGATAGTGCCATGATTATTACTTAAACAAAACTCACTTTAATACCAGAGACTTAGAGACTGTTTTGTCAAGGATTTAATGTACTCATGAGGATTTAATTCTAATGCCGACTTTTAAAACAGTCATTCCTAAGCAGCCGTCAGCCCTTATGTCTCTTGAAAGTGGAATTAAGCAGCATTTAAGGAGCCTGGTTGGCAGGTTCTGTGCTGAGGTGCAGACCCACTCACTAGCTGCTCTACGGGGAAAAGATCAGGCTGCCCGCTCCTATAAAGAGTTCATCTTGGAAACCCTACACAGGGTCACTATGAATTGGAAATGACTCGATGGCAGTGGGTTTGGTTGGGAATTTTGTTGTTGTTGTTGTTTTGGGGTGTGTGTGTGTGTGTTATTTGTAATTCTGAAGCTGTTATTTAAATAAACCTCCATGTGAAATGCTATCATCACAGCAATTTTAAAGTCTCAGTTAAAAGTCAAGTATAAAGTCTAGTATAGTTTTGTTATAAAACAATGAGAAGCAATATGCTCATAGCATATGTATAGAATATTTTCATTTCGGTGATAAGCTATGTCAACAACAATTTATAAAATATTAGAGATTATTTATATCACAAGCACAAAAAAGGAAATGATAGTTTTAATTTATGTGTATTTTGGAATATCTTAGTTAATAAAAACTCTTGATTTTGTTTCTCCTCTTCTGATTCACTCCTCTTATAAATTATGGCAGCCTTTGCTATTTTAAATGATTTATATTATAAGCATATATGAGGAGTACCCAACCCCCCCAAAAAAACTGGACTTTTCCCCCAAAAAAGCTATCTATTTAAGTGTTTTTTGTTTTCTTTTTTAACAAAAACAACCTTATCACCTTCAAAGTACTCTCCATTACAATTAATACATTTGTCAATTCTGCTATTCCATTCTTGGAAACATTTTTCAAACTCATGTTTGGATGGTTGATAGCACCGCCCGCATTTTTTTGGTCACCTCTTCTACATCATTGTCCTCTCATGTCCCTCTTCATTAGTGGAAACAAAAAGAAGTCACAAGGAGTGAGGTCAGGTGAGTCAGGTGCGTGGGGCAAGAGAGGCATGCTGTTTTTTTGCCCAAAACTGGTGCACTGAGATAGCTGCGTGAGAAGGTACATTGTTGTGGTGGCAAACCAGTCCCCCATCTGCCACAAATCAGGTCTTTTTGTTGCACACAATTACACAATCTTTTCAGAACCTCTAATGAGAAAGCTTGATTAACAATCTGATCTGGTAGAGCAAAACTCCAAATGTACTACAAGTGGACATTTTCATCCATTTGGGAAGTTGACAGATGTCCAGAATTAGGTTTGTCATCAATTGACATTTCACCTTTTTTGAAATGAGAAAACCATTCATACACTTGTGTTTTTCCCATAGCATTGTCTTTGTAAGCTGTGTTCCACATCACAACAATTTCTTTGGCATTTTTCCCGAGTAGGAAACAAAATTTCACAGTTGCATACTGTTCTCTGAAATCGGCCATCACAAAAAAATGAGGTTCAAGTGAAACTGCTTTTACGAAAAAATTCACTGTGACCAGAGAAAGAGAGCCTTCCCAGGTGATGCCACTGGGTGCACTAACGCAGAGCAAGTTGCTCAATGCTTGCCTAGCAGGGAAAAATGTGAACTATGAAAGCTCCACCCAGCGGAACTTTCTACCATTTTGGGGGGTACCCTTTGTATACTCATACACCCGTGTATACATATGCCTAAGCATATATTATGGAAAACATTTTATTTTTCAATCAATACGAGATTTCTTTTAAGGCAAACCTGATTTCAGGAAGCAGACTTTTATGGTACAGAGTCCAGAGAGTAGGGTTTTATGACTTCCATTTATAAATGTGAAATATGAAGACAGACCCTGTAACTAAGACTTTTTAATCTTAGCCAAAGTTGGCTTGTGTAGGATTTTATCAAATATAATTTAGATGTTGTCATAGCTGGTCAGCTGTTTACCATCTGTCATTGTCCTTCATAGCTAACTGAGGTGTAAAGGCAAGACCCAAGCAGTGTCAAACCCAGAGGTTGTGCATATCGTAGCTTCTCTTTGGTCTAGTTGACTCGGTTGTTTTAGGTGTGTTCCAGGCCCTCTGGGAATAGTGAGTTCCATTAATTGGACTCATCGGGTGGTCAGTTTCATATGACAGAGTAGTGGACAGAGCGCTCGCCGTACAGAGTGCCTTGTATTCCAGTCCCAGCACTGCTAGGACTGATTACGTGAGTACGAATGAGCTACAGCCTCTTTGCACCCACTCCCCCCCTGAGGCGTCTTGAGTTCCTTTGAGAATCTGATAAAAGAGATATACACATGTGCATCATATTTTGCATATTTAAGTTCACGGGACTGCCTAGCATCCCATGTCCTCTGGATTCATGGATATCAAGTTACGACCTCTTGACCTTGTCTGGACCCCCCAACCCAAACCCACGGCTATCAAGCCCATTTTGATTCATAGAGATGCTACGTATACCTAAATCTTTGTGAGAGCAGCCAGCCCCATCTTTCTCCCACCGAGCGGCTTGTGAGGCTGAGCCAGCACGGGTGTGGTTCGCAGTCTAACACTTGCATGGTGGCACCACCAGGACCTCCATGGCCTAGAACAAAGCAAGCTAAAGCCCAAATAGCCTAGCTTGGCATTAAAGCCTCTTACATTTTCCACAACGCCATGGCCACTGGTTTTCAGATCAAGGTGATATGGTGTGAGGAAATGGACAGCTTATTTAAGGCACAATGAGCAACACTAGGTTAAAACATGAAAAACTACATTAGTAAAAGATCTCAAGGTCAGGAGAACCCAGTTATTCTATGCACACCCCCAAAGCAATGGATTGACGAGGATGCATAAAATAGGAAGCCTTGTATCATGTGGGTTGGGATGCAAAGTAGGTCAGCCGCCATGGCAAACAGCTGGGTAATTCTTCAAATATTTGAAAACGTGATTTCCATATAATTCTGAAACTCCATACCTCGGTGTGTACCCCAAATGATTGGACCCAGGGGCACGATCAGATAGTTGTACACCAATGTTCACTGCAGCACTATTCACGGTAGGTAAACCACAGAACCAGTCCAAACAGCCATCAGCAGATGAATGGACAAACACTTCGCAGTGTACAATGGAGTATCATTCTTCAGTCAAGAGCAATAAAGTACAGGCATATATATAACATGTATATATACACATGTAATATATATGTACATACATACTGCAACATAGGTGAATGATGTTTTGTTCTCGATGCAATCGTATGCTTTTTTTTATTTTTAGTGATAACCAAACAAATGCCACTTTAAAAAGATCTTACTCTGTTGGTAGCATAACTGATCTACTGCCTTTATGATTTGTGTGGCTAGAACATAATGACTTATTGGTGTAGCAATTCATTGAAGGCACTTGTTTAATATGTTCATTCATCTTGTAAATAGATTATTGCCACATTGCAGTCAGCACTTTCGCAGCTTGAAAAACACAACTGGATTTTGAGAACATTCTCAGAAGAGTTGAGAAACTAATTGCCCATAGCATTTATTTAAATTATTTTTAAAATCTTTCTAATAACTATATATATTCAATGACATACCCCAAACCCCCATACCTTTCCAAAGAATTCTCTTGACTGGTTTTCCTGATAGAACCCAGGCTAAGGTTGAGAGACATCAGAGAAGTTTCCATTATACATCAAAGTATTCATGTGAGAGACGAGACTCCAGAAAATGTTTCAGATACTACTAACTCAGTAAAAACTAAAATGACTACACATATTTTAAAACATTTTTGGAGCCATATATTTGAGGTGTAAATATTAACTGCAGCTCAGGAAACAAAATTTTAAAAAAACATTGCCTGAAATCTAATTTTAAGTGAGAGGAGCAAAGGATTAAAATGATAGGATTACAGGACGTGGTTCATGACTGGCTGAAGACAAAGGAACAGCAGGGTTATTAATTTACCCTGTGCCCTTTGTAGCCAGAGTTTGCACACATCAGCACAGCATGCGGGCAAAGGCCCAAAGCATCCGCACATACGGTGCTATCTGAATGTGATGCTGCTCCGTGAAAGAGAGTGGTGCTTCTGAGTTGGGGTTAAAGGTAAGCTCACTGCCATCCAATTGATTCCAACTCGATTCCAACTCATAACAACCGATCAACCGACTGGATAGGACAGGGTAGAACTGCCCTTGTGGGCTTCCCAGTCTCTAAATCCTTGCAGGAGCAGGAAATCACTCTGCCTCCTGAGGAGCCGCTGTTGGCTTTGAACTGCAGACCCGTCCATAGCCCACGACTTCAGCACAGCTTCTCCTCACAGCAAAGATGATGGTCCTATAGTCACTGTAAAATGTGAAATCTGTTGCTATAAATTTCTGAAAGATTTTTGGGAGGGAAGCAAACAAATTTAAAGAGGTCTAGCCAACGCATTAGTTCCACGTGGAGATGTTGAAATCTGAATCGTCAATGATGTGCAGATTTTTATTCTAATATGCTTCTTTTACATATTAGCATCACCAGAACACATACCACACATGCTTCTATTTTATGCAGATACATTGCTTTTACAAAGGACAGTTAATGAAGAATCAAGCCTATGACAAAAATATTTGAAAGAGCCGAAGGTATTTGGCTAGAAATTGCTTGTAAGCAGTTTCTTTCCAAGCTTAACCCTTTTTTATGGCATTAAACTAGGTTTGTCTTGAGGCACTTTTTTCTAGTTTATGGTTTTAATAAACCATAACTGATTCATCTAGAATTAACTAGACTTAACAAGAATATGCAAACTATGGAGCCTAATTTTCTCATTTACTTCAATGTAATATTTGATTTTGTATACTAATGAGATAGTCATTTATGAACAATCAAACTGGTAACTCAAGAGAGGAAAACATTGCTTAGGGATCAAAAAGAAAATTAAAATCATTTGGTTTCTAATTGAGTGTTTTATAGTAGGCAGAATATTGTTGTATAGACTTAGAGCCATACTTATTTTTTTAACCAAATAAAGAACACTATGCTAGGTTGTCGATATTAATTTTCAAGCAGAACAATTATTTTTAATTCCTTCTTGTGTTAATATGGGTTGACTAGACAAACAAATTCATAGACCCTCATACGTGTATAAGAAAGAGTTTTATGTAAAAGAGCAATTGTACATTGAGAAAGCCAGCCCAGTCCAGGTCAAGTCTCTGAGGGTGATATTAGCCCCTATGTCTGATACTAGTCCATAAATTCCTCTTCATACTCACGCAGCACCTGCAATGATGCTGAATACAGGAAGATCCCAGACCTGTGGGTAGAAAGTCTTGTGGACCCAGTGGTTGTGGAAGTATCTCCAGGGCTCTGGCTGCCATCGGTGTGGCTCCATGTGGCTTGTCCACAGGAAGGTGAAGCGGAGAGAGTGTGTGTCCCCCCTCCAGGGAGGAAGACAGGAGGACTCAGAATCCTCAGGAAAAGGCCATGCCCACACAGAGGCCTCATTGGCTGTGACCTGATTGACAGGCTAGACTCCACCCCTTTGCTCAAGTTGCTGGGAGATTGTGTAACTGCCACGCAGCCCTTTTAGTACACAGTGTAATTTGAGACGAAATAGGAGTGTGATTGGATAGGGTATAAAATTATAAATTCACCAAGGCCTTGGCTTCTACTTTCCTCCTCATTGTAACTTAGCCCTCCACTCTACTCTGACCCTGAGTGCCTGCATATCTGGCATCTTGCAAATTCTTCAAATGTTGGGTCTTTGTTTATAAAAATCATCATCAAATACATACACAGCCTTCCTTGGCCTTGAGTCTTAGTTTGGCCTTACTGCGCCTTTAGCTACCACGAGGACAAGGGCCAGGCACACAAGTGGCATTTCTGAAATGCTCGCCTGATCTTAAGCTTGCCTTTCTTAGACAATTGTCATCACCGAAGTTTGATATCAGATGAGCGTGTTCGGGCAGGGGTGGTGGGGAGGGGGCTGGCCATGGTTCTCGCTTTATTCGAACGCGTATCTGGGTGTCTGTTTTGTTGGGTTTAGATGCTTTGTGACTACCGCTAGTGAACAGTTATCAGGAATAACCCATGCACATTAGCATCATGCTTTTTACTCCTTCCTTCCTTCCTTCCTTCCTTCCTTCCTTCCTTCCTTCCTTCCTTCCTTCCTTCCTTCCTCCCTTTGGCAGCAGAATTCTGAATGTCTTGTTTCCCTTGTGTTTTATGGAAAGCTGAAAGCAGAAGGTTTTTTCATGAGCAAGAGGTGGAGAAGTGCCTGGTCACCCTGCTGGGTTCTGAAAACGAGGGGACAAAAATCGCCGCTTCGCAAGCCATCTCCGCAATGAGCGAGAATTCAAGCAGCAAAGATTTTTTCAATAATCAGGGTGAGCAGGCTGGGACCGGAATGTGTGGAGTCGCTTCGGTCCCCGGGCTCTGGGTTGGGAGTCACCGCGGGCCTGTGTCTCCCCGCAGGGATCCCGCAGTTGGTCCAGCTCCTGAAGAGCGACAACGAGGAGGTGCGGGAAGCAGCCGCTCTGGCCCTGGCGAACTTGACCACCAGCAATCCTGCCAACGCCAGGTGAGTGTGCAGACACCCGCCGACCCCCGATTTGTGATGGACAGCCCACCCTCCATGACAGGGTCCGTTCTTTTTCCTCTCCCAAGATGTTTTCGTTTTTAACAATGTTGGCTTGCAAGGTAGTCTCTGTTTCCTTTGAGCGGGTCTATCTTGAGATCCGGTGGCGTACTCCTGGGTGATGGCTGGGCGGCTAACGGCAAGCTGGGCAGTCAGAGCCGTCAAAGGTGGAGAGCCTTGCCGACGCAGAAGGCCAGTGCGCCTCGGTCCTGGAAGGCCGTTCTGAGTTAGAGTCGACTCCACCGCAGTGAGTTCGTCCTTCGGGGTTACTGGGGGTCCCTTAGCAAGAGGGAGGCATCAGAGAGAGAGCTTCACTGATGTGACCAAATCTTGTTTCCAGATTTGTTGGGGGGGGAACGTGGAGGCCTTTGATCCAAGCAACAGGCCATTTCTGGTGCAGTCGAGTACAAACGAAAACAGGACAGTGCTGGAAAGCACGAACGATAACTTTATTTAAAAACTCACCGCCACCGAGCTGATGCCCCTAAAGGACAGTGTAGAACTGAAGCCCTGGGGTTCTCTTTACAGAACAGAAAGCCCTGTGTTTCTCCCTGCAGGGACTACTGGTTCCAAACTGCTGCCCTTGCTGTTAGCAGCCCAACACATACCGGTTAAGCCACCACCAGAAAAATCTTTAAAAGCCCACGTTAAAAAAGGACACAACTTTTAGGTAGAGCTGGAAACATTTTCAAAAGCCAATTTGGAAAAGGGCATTTATAGAGGTCTAGATAAAGACATGTACATATGCAAATATATTTATATTTATATGAGGTTGGGGAAATAGATCTATGAGCCTATATTTACAGGTTTAGTATTAAGGTAGCAGAAGGACATTGGGCCTCCACTCAAGTACTCCCTCAATGCAAGA